GCATTCCAGGCATTGACCACTCTGTTGCTGAAGTCGTATTTTCTGCAATCGAGTTTGGAGCGGTTTACATTGAGTTTGTATCTATTGTGTGCTCATGTATTGTTTTGGTTGAAGCTGAAGTAGTCATTGACAGGTAGGACATTGTAGCGGATAATTTTGTGTACTACGCTTAGGTCAGACCGTAGGCGGCGTAGTTCTAGGTTGTCCAAGTCCAAAATTTCAAGTCTGGTGACATAAGGTATTTTGTTGCGAGCAGAGGAGTGGAATACTCTTCTTGTGAAATACCTCTGGACTCGCTCAATTGTGTTAATGTCCAATATACAGTGCAGTTTCCAGGCAGATGAGCTGTATTCGAGAATTGGTTTTGTATGCCCTAGTTTGCAGGTAACAATGTTACCGGAAAAGAAGCTTCACAAGATTAGACAACCTGCCTATTTGCTTCACACCCAGGGAGCTTCCAAGTGCCAATCTTAAAATTTCCACGTGAGAAGAGTTTTGCTAAGAATCATTTCTTGGGGAAGGAAGAAGAAGACATAATAACTAACGTTTGTGTTTAGTGTTTTCGGTTCTTATTTGCCCAATCAATGAGAGTGGCAGCTCTCTGTAACGTTCCCAATGTATTTGGGATTTTCCGCATCAGAGCCAGTTTGGTGTAGCGGTTAAGACATCAGGCTGGTACTGGATATGTCTAGTCTTACGAAAAGAAGGACTGGGGTGACATGATAGCAGTGTTCTGATATCTCAGGGGCTGCCACAAAGAAGAGGGAGTCAAACTATTCTCCAAAGCACCTGAAGGCAGGACAAGAAGCAATGGGTGGAAACTAATTCAGGAGAGAAGCAACCTAGAACTAAGGAGAAATTTCATGACAATGAGAACAATCAATCAGTGGAACAACTTGCCTCCAGAAGTTATAAATGCTCCAACACTGGAAGTTTTTAAGAAGAGATTGGTTAACCATTTGTCTGAAGTGGTGTAGGATTTCCTGCCTAAGCAGGGGGTTGGACTAGAAGACCTCCAAGGTCCCTTCAACTCTGTTATTCTATTCTATTCTAAATTGACTTTAAGAATGACCCTGTATTAGAAGTTGAACCCTACTCCAATATTTCTTTGCTTTGTCACATGTCCACCATAAATGATAACAAGTCCCCTCTTTACATTTACATTTCCAACATTCATTTCAAATACCTTTATACATTTTTGATCACTTGTCTGGAGTTACATCATCTTATAGACATTTCCTTTTAAATTGTAATTCTTAAAGTGAATATAAAGATAAAACCAGAGACTTTTCTTTTGGGGTTAATGGAAAAAGACATGGGGAGAAAAAATTGGAACCTTGATGCTATACATGTTGAGGATAGCAAGACTACTCTACGCACAAAAATAGAAAGACATTTCAACCCTGAAAATGGACGAATGGCTGCAAAAGATGATGGAGTTAGCAGATATGGCTAAATTGACTGCTTTGATCAAGGAAAAAGCCCCAAAGACATTTTTTCCCTACCTAGAAAAAGCTTCTGGACTTTGTGCTTGAGGTAGAAAAAACATGAAGCTTTGATTTTGGGTTTTACTGATTAGTTAGATTTGGTGTTATAGAAATGGCTAGTTTAAACTGTTATGTAAAAGTAAAAAGTTGTGGTTTGATATTACTGCCCTATTCTACTGCACCAAAGGGAGTCAGAAGTCAATGCCTTTTCTTTCTCCCCCCCCCCACTTCCCCCCCATTTTCCCTTCCCTATTTTTCCTACTATTTGCTTTTGCTTTTTTATGTTATATCATACACCTGTGGGAAGCCCCCCCCTTTTAGATAACGAAATATTTTGGAAAATATTAAAAGAAGTAGAATATTATATTTCCCCAAAGGAGAAACATGTTCTTAGAGACAGAAAGCAGCCCCAGTCTTTCTTAACAGCCCCCAGCAGATGCCTGAAGTCTTTAGAGATTGTTATTTTTGTGCCCATTAAGAGAGGTTAGGCCAGTCTATTCACAAATAAAAAACCTTCATCTCCAGTAATGGGACTTAAATTTACATCCACCCACATTCTAAGAACAGGACATGACCTGGCAGTGTTTACAAGTTTGGATCTATGGTATATACTCTATGCTCCTTTGTTCTAAGTAGAGTTTCCTGTTTCCTGTTACAGTTGAGCAGTAAACCACATGGTGACTGTACTCCTTGTTTTCTCTGCAGTGCTATATATAAACAGAATTTCTAACACAAAGTCTTCCTTTCCATCACGCAATTAATTAGGACAAGCAAATCCCTCAAACTGCATTTGTACATCAGCATCAGCTGTCTGGCCATGAGTGGAGATCGTTCTGTACAATTGGGTATCATCAGCACACTGATGACATCAAACTCTATTTTGGTGAATAACCTCATTCAGAGGTTTCATGTAAATTTTAAGAAGAGAAGAGAAAGATCTGAGCCTGAGGGGGAGAAAAGGATATCCCAAAGGTCCTTTTCAAAAGGCAACTGGACTTTCTTGGGGTTTTTTTTCTTGAAAATGTTTCACTTCTTATTCAAGAAGCTCTGCATTCCACTGCCAGGAGTTTGATTCTGTTCTGACCTAGGCTTCCTGAGTCATTAAAACACACGAGTAGTCCCAAAAGCCTCTTTTTTTGCAACAGCTGTGAATTCTGTTCATTCACACAGATGAGTCCCAGTTAGTTGTAAAGAGTCCTTTGGGAGAAGTCCTTCGGGATAATCACCTACCTTTATCTCCCTTGACACGCTGTCTTAGACCTAATTGGCAAAGCCACACGGAGTCCAGAATCAAACAGAGCTTCAGGCTTTAAACTGAACCGAATGAACAAACGTTGCTTCCTGCAAAGGCCCACGTGCCTTTGCTCCTCTTTTAAGTCTTATGGGAGGGCCAATCATCTCCCAGCCCTACTCCCGAGTCATCCCTTTTGTTTTAGCTGTTCTTGCCTTCTGGCAGCTCTGCACATGCGCGCCACAGTCGTTATGTAAATCTGGCTTCCCCATTGACGTTTGCTTGTCAGAAGGTTGCAAAAGGTGATCACATGATCCCAGAACACCGCAACCGTCATAAATAGGAGTCAGTTGCCAAGCGTCTGAATTTTGATCACCTGACAATGGGGATTCTGCGACAATCATACGTGTGAAAACATGACTGTAAATCACCTTGTGACTTCAAACGGCCACTAAATGAACTGTTGTAAGTCGAGGGCTACCTGTTAGGTGGCAAACTCAGGCTGTTTGGGTAGATCCCAAATCTGCACTTTTCAGATGGATCATTTCATCCCAATTGTCTCCTGTTGAGAAAAATGAACCTGGTCCTAATACTGTTTCTACTCTTACTGTTATCCACACTGATGAAAATTAAGAAAGCAAAAAGATCTTGGGGGTGCACGGATTTGTTATTGAGCCTTGGTGGTGCAGTGGTTAGAGTGCAGTACTGCAGGCTACTTCTGCTGACTGCCGGCTGCCTGCAATTTGACAGTTCAAATCTCACGAGGCTCAAGGTTGACTCAGTCTTCCGTCCTTCCGAGGTGGGTAAAATAAGACCCAGATTGTTGGGGGCAAATATCTGTAAACCGCTTAGAGAGGGCTGTAAAGCACTATGAAGTTGTAAGGTAAAGGTAAAGGTTCCCCTCGCACATATGTGTTAGTCATTCCTGCCTCTAGGGGGCGGTGCTCATCTCCGTTTCAAAGCGGAAGAGCCAGCGCTGTCCAAAGACATCTCCGTGGTCATGTGGCCGACACCAAAGGCGCACGGAATGCTGTTACCTTCCCACCAAAGGTGGTCCCTATTTTTCCTACTTGCATTTTTTTTAATGTGCTTTCAAACTGCTAGGTTGGCAGAAGCTGGGACAAGTAATGGGAGCTCACCCCATTACATGGCCCTAGGGATTCGAACCGCTGAACTGCCGACCTTTCGATTGACAAGCTCAGCATCTTAGCCACTGAGCCACCGCATCCCTTGCTGAAGTGGTATATAAGTCTAAATGTTATTGCTATGATAAATGGCCCAAAATGGTGCAAACCAGGGTGGGTTCTAAATTTTTTTACTACCGGTTCTGTGGGCGTGGCTTATTTTGTGGGTGTGGCTTGGAGGTCATGTGACTAGGTGGGCGTGGCTAGCTAGTCAGAGTCATTTCTGGAAGGTCCTCGCACTTACGACCAGTCCTCGCACTTACAACCTGACTCATTTGTTTGCTTTTAACACTGATCAGCTGTAGGACGGCCCTTTGAAGCCCCGCGGCAAGAGTTTAAACAGTTTTTTTTCCCTCTAGTCATCAGCTGGACTCAGGAGGGCAGCAATAGATTGGGGTGGGATCAAATAAAAGGTAAGAATAACGTGGGTGGGGGGATGGGGGGGTGGGAGGGCGGGGGGCAAGAACCGTTCGGTGATGTCATATCGTCACCGCTACCGGCTCGGCCGAACCGGACCGAACCGGGGAGGAACCCACCACTGGTGCAAACCGGTGTTCACAAAGCATTTTGTAAGAATAGTGTCAGGATTCCAATTAACACACCCAACAGAATCAAAACTCCGAGGCAGGCATATTCTTCAAAGTATAGATTTATTAGACATGTCATATTGACACATCTGGGGAAAACCCAACTCTGAAGGACCCGAGATTTTCCCCACCCAAATCAAAAACGCCAAAGTTCTTTCCCCCAGGTCACAAGTCCATCACATAGTCCAACTAGGTCACAGCCACCATCTTGGCTGGCTTTGGTCCACGCCTCTTCAACACCTGGTAGAGCCTCCTTAGCTCCCATGGGAAAGAATGTTGTTTTGGCTACACATCCCCAGCTTTCTCTATCTCCCCCCTCACATTCACACAACTCCAACCGGCCTTGCTGTGGCAGCCCTGAAGATGCTCCCAAAATGGCTTCAGCTCAAAAATGGCTTTAGGGCTGACACATAGAAAGGAAAAATGAGAAGGCAAGAAATAAGCAATTGGACTGGACATGCAATTATGTGTATTAATATAGACTTGTCCTCTTCTCTGTTCCACATTACAGATGGCAAAGGATTATGGGAATATCTATTCCTTCTGGGGAGGGGGTTATCATTGCATAGTTCTCTGTGGATACCGAGCCGTGAAAGAAGTACTGATAGACCATTCCGAGGCTTTTGTTGATCGCCTAGTCACACCTTACATTTTAACTGCAACTAAAGAAAAGGGTAAGTCATAATCAAAACGCTGGATAATTATCGTTGTTGTTGTTGTTGTTGTTGTTGTTGTTATTATTATTATTATTTATTGGTTAATCTTTAGTGAGATTCACAGCCTTTGAGGCTGGTTAATAGCTCAGCAGCTCGAGTCCTAACCAAGGACCTAGGAACTGTTAAGGTATCGTCGGAGGATGTAAGCTGTTCCGAGTAAGGTGGTTTTTTGTAGAGTCAAAATGTTCAAGTCCGGCAAATTTAGAATTTCTAAATAGTGGGGTAGCCCTTTGGGTATTGCTCCAAGGGCTCCAATTACAATCGGGACAACACACGATTTCTTTTTCCACAGTCGCTCAACTTCAATTTGTAAGTCCCGGTACTTTGTGATTTTTTCTTGCTGCTTATCTTCAATTCGTGCATCACCAGGTATTGCAATGTCAATGAACCATACTTTTTTCTTTTCAACTACTGTTATGTCAGGTGTGTTGTGGATCAAGTGCCTGTCAGTCTGAATCCTAAAGTCCCACAAGATCTTGAGTTTCTCATTCTCTAAAACTTTCTCAACCTGATGTTCCCAGTGGTTTTTGCTGTACTCAAATCCAAACTTCTGGCACAATTTCCAGTGAATGATTTTAGCCACACGGTCATGGCGTGTTTTTTAATTATTATTATTATTATTATTATTATTATATTATTATTATTATTATTATTTTATATTATTATTATTATTATTATAATTATAATAATGAGTCCTTCGGAGTAGGGCGGTATAGAAATTCAATAAATAATAATAATAATAATAATAATAATAATAATAATAATAATAATAATAATAATTATTATTATTTAATTTTTATACCGCCCTTCTCCCGAAGGATTCAGGGCAGTGAACAGTCAGAATAACATACATATAATGTGAAATAAAAACAATTTAAAATAATTAAACCAATTTGGCTCATCAGTTAAGATGACTTAACTCATCAGTTAAAGACTGGCGGCCCCCAGGGGGAGAGCCTTCTCTGTGGGGGCACCCATTATCTGGAACGAGCTCCCCCCGGAGATAGGGAGGATCCCGGATCTGCGCACTTTCCGCCGTGCTCTTAAGACCCTCTTATTCCAGCAAGCCGGCCTGGCCTAATTTTTCTCTCCCTTTCTTTTAAATTTTTTAAACTGAAATTTTAATTTGTTTTAAATTATTGGGATTTTAATTGTTGTGGGGCTAAATTATTTAATTTGGTTTTAAATTGTTTCTAACTTTTGTATTCCTGTATTTTATTCTGTGCCTGTTCACCGCCCTGAGTCCTTCGGGAGTAGGGCGGTATACAAATTTAATAAAACATAAAACAAAACAAACAAGATCCTCAGCATAGAATTTAGACAATTTGAAAATTTATGCCAGCCCGGCTTGGTGAAACAGAAAGGTCTTCAGGGCACAACGGAAAGTACGGAGATCTGGAATCATTCGTATCCCTGGGGGTATCCTGTTCCAAAGGGCAGGTGCCCCCACAGAGAAGGCTCTCCCCCTGGGAACCACCAGTCGACATTGCTTTACTGACGGCACCCTGAGGAGGCCCACTCTGTGGGAGCGTACTGGTTGGTGGGAGGTTATCGATTGCAGAAGGTGGTCTCGTAGGTACCCAGGTCCTAAGCCATGGAGCACTTTAAAGGTAAGAACCAACACCTTGAAGTGCACTCGGAAGACCACCGGGAGCCAGTGCAGCTCACGTAGGAGAGGTGTTACATGTGACCACCATGTCGCTCCCATAATCACCCGCGCGGCCGCATTCTGGACCAGTTGGAGTCTCCGGGTGCACCTCAAGGGGAGCCCCATGTAGAGAGCATTACAGTAGTCCAGTCGGGAAGTGACGAGGGCATGAGTCACTGTGCATAAAGAGTCCCGATCCAGGAAGGGACGCAACTGGCGAATCAGGTGAACCTGATAGAAAGCTCCCCTGGCCACGACTGTCATATGCTCTTTTAAAGACAGCCACATGTCCAGGAGGACACCCAAGTTGCGAGCCTTCTCCGTGGGGGCCAATGACTCACCCCCAATAGTCAATGATGGTATCAGCTGGCTATATCGGGATGCCGGCAGCCACATAACAAGGATGTTGCCTTGTTATACCCATCAAAATCACTGTGACACTAGTCAAAAGGCTTGGATTAAAATATCTGGAAATGCTTTCTTTTTATTTACCACGCTAAGTTAGGAGTCTGGAAAAAGATTTTTTTTTTTTCACTAAATGTAGTCAAAAAGAGGTTTAGGAAAAATAAGTCAAAAGAAATACATCTTATCTATATCTTAAAAAATGTCTTATTAAGGTACTCAGTCCAGAGTCTTTCTCTTCCAATTAAAAATAGTTATTTCCTTGCTTCACTTTATTTTCCAGCGGGATAGGGGTGGGGGAATCCATTCAAAACTTTCACTCACTGCTTCCGGAGGGGGAAAGAGTAACAATTCCCTCCCTCCTTCTCTCTGGAGTCTCCCTCCTTCACAGAAATATTTTGGTGAATTTAGTTTAGGTTCTGGGTAGAAATTAGGCAATCCTTACCCCAATCTGATACACTGTTTCTTTCCGCTTTTCTTCGTGTTTGCTAGTTCCAGCCATCAGAACTTTGGTTAAGCCATTAATGGCTATCTTCTTTTCCACCTGTCGGGAAGATTTTCCTGGATCCAGCAAAGTGGACCTCTGTCCACCTGCGATCTACAGGAGCCCTTCCTTTCTTGTCACCTCTACAAGGTGACGTTTGGCTCCAAAGAGCCTCCAGGCAGGCAGAAATCAGCTGGGCTTCGCGGAGCCCCACTAGCTACAGCTGTCCCGCTCCGACAACAAACCGGAAGTCCAGAGGAGGTTGTTTTAGAAGAGACATTGTCCTACATTTATCAACCATATTAGAGGCAAGGAAAATGTTGCAACATCTATTCAGCAGATTTGACCCGACTGTAGATAAAAATAGACAGGCACACAACTAAATTAACATTATGATTTTCATCTCAGAAGTTTTTATCATGCATTCTGTGAGATGTAAGGAGGAGCCTTAAGAAAGAGTAAGGATGTGGGACTTCAGTAGTCACCGATGAGGTTAAAAAGGTGCTAAGAATGCTCCTAAAATGTTGCATCACTTTCTGTGTATCAGTTGAGGCTTTCTAAGTCATTAATAATACAGTTTTTCCATTAGGATTGAAGGTTTGAGACATAGACTAATGTTTACAGAAAAATTGTGTAGCATGGTTTGGATTCTTTAGTGCATAAATTGCATGTACATTTTGAAACCTGTCAACCTTGATCAGGTAACTGGGCATGGGTAGTCTAGTGAAGAGTGAAGAGAAGGACCAGGGGAGACATGATAGCAGTCTTCCAATATTTGAGGGGCTGCCACAGAAAGGAGGGGGTCAACCTATTTTGCAAAGCACCTGAAGGCCAGAGAAGGAATGATGGGTGGAAACTAATCAAGGAGAGATTCAACCTAGAAATAAGGAGAAATTTTCTGACAGTGAGAACAATCAACCCATGGAACAGAAGTTGCCTTCAGAAGTTGTGGGAGCTTCACCACTGGAAGCTTTCAAGAAGAGTGTGGACTGCCATTTGTCAGAAATGGTGTAGGATCTCCTGCTTGGGCAGGGGGTTGGACTAGATGACCTACAAATTCCCTTCCAACTCTGTTAGTCTAATCTAATTTTGTATTTTTGTGAACACTACTTTTTCAATTACCTCAGGTATTATATTTTCAAACGGTCACACCTGGCAGCAGCAAAGAAGGTTTGGGATTGTTACCATGAGGAAATTGGGACTGGGGAAAAAAGGCATGGAAGCTCAAATCCAAGAGGAGGCCCAACAGCTTGTGGAATTCTTTGCAGAGACAAAAGGTACGTGACAATCTGAGATGAGGCTGTCTTGAGTATAACTGCACAGAAATCTTTAAGGAGCTTTCCTTACCTGCTGAATCATTGTCTCGTAGAATCATAAGGTCGGAATGGACTGTGGAGGATTTCTGAAAGAACACCATACCCATGGCAGGAATCCCCCAGTCCCCTAATCATCTTATAATGAAAGCTAAAACATATGAAGAACGGTTGCAGGAATTAGGTATGTCTAGTTTAATGAAAAGAAGAACTAGGGGTGATATGATAGCAGTGTTTTGATATCTAAGGGGCTGCCACATAGAAGACGGGGTCAACCCAGGGATGAAATGCTCCCAGTTTGGACTGGATCAGGCGATCCGGTAGCGATGGCGGCGGGTAGTTCAGAGAACCGGTAGCAAAAATCCCTGGTCCTCCTGCCCATGCCCGCCCAATTGCCCAGTCCCCACTTGCCCACTTGGCAGCTTGCTGCTTCTCTCGGGCTCGCTTGCTTTTCCTGCCTTATTTCGGCTGCTGCAATCAATTGCATCAACTAGCAACTGAATCTGCCTGCCTGCAATCAATCCAAATGTTGAGCAACTCAATCTCCCTGCCTTGTGCCTTCAATTTGATAAGTAACTGGGTTTTTTTGGGGGGTGGGGGTGGGGAGCTTTAAAAAAAATAGTTAATTGGAGTTTTTTTTAGGAGTTTTTTTTTTTTTTTTTAGACACAGCAATTTAAAGTTAAGGAAGTTTTAAATTTAGCTGCTTTTACCTAAAAATAAAAATAAAATAAAATAATAAAATATTTGTGCAGCTTTCTGAGATTTGGTGTGTTTCTGTAGTGTTTCACTGTGTCTAAAAAAAAAAGAAACTCCTAAAAACTACACAAGCACACAAAATCTCACAAAAGCTGCATGTGACATTTTGTGTGGAAAAAGTGTGAAAGTTGGTTTTTGAGCTTTTTGTGGCCGTGTGAGGTTCCTGCTTGTTGCAGGGGCCATTTTGGCTGAAGTGCAGCTGCTTTTACATTGTGTGCGAGTCAGTTGTGTTGTGTTGCATTGTGTGTAAAGTGTGAAAGTTGGTTTTTGGTACCTCTTATTGTTTTGTGTACTTTGTTTATTATTTTTATTATTTATTATTATTGGCCATGCCCACCCGGTCACCTGACCACCAAGCCACGCCCACCAATTAAGCCACACCCACAGAACTGGTAAGGAAAATGTTTAGATTTCACCGCATCTGAAGGCAGGAGAAGAAGCAATGGGTGGAAACTAATCAAGGAGAGAAGCAACTTAGAACTAAGGAGAAATTTCCTGACAATTAGAACAATTAATCAATGAAACAACTTGCTTCCAGAAGTTGTAGGTGCTCCAACACTGGAAGTTTTTAAGAAGAGATTGGATAACCATTTGTCTGAAATGGTATAGGGTTCCCTGTCTGAGCAAGGGGTTGGACTAGAAGACCTCCAAGGTTCCTTCCAACTCTCTTATTCTGTTATCCTAGTTCCATCTCAGACAAATGACTATCCAATATTTCAGTGAAAATGTCCCCCGATGAAGCATTCATGATTCTAGGAGGCAGGCTATCTCACAGCTTAATAGCTTTCATGGTCAAGATTTTTCTTCTTATTCCTTGTTTGGATTTTGCTGGTGTACAAGTTAGAACAGCGATGGCAAAGCTTTTAGAGACCGAGTGCCCAACTGGCAACTGGACTTTCTGGTTTTTATTTATTCAAAACACAGGAATTCAAAACACAGGAACTGGAAGAGTTCGCCAAACATATCAACGCTGTGGACAGATACATCAAATTCACACGGGAAGATGTTAACGAAAATAGTCTCGCTTTCCTGGACTGTGCAGTATACACTAAGGACAGTGGTGAAATCCAATTTTTTTTACTACCGGTTCTGTGGGCGTGGCTTGGTGGGTGTGGTGCGGCTTGATGGGTGTGGCAGGGGAAGCAAAAACTCCATTCCAGTTCCACTCCTAGGGGAAGGATATTGCAAAACCTCCATTCCCACCCCACTCCAGGGGAAGGATACTGCAAAATCCCCATTCCCTCCCCACTCCTGGGGGAAGGATATTGCAAAATCTCCATTCCCACCCCACTCTGGGGCCAGCCAGAGGTAGTATTTGCTGGTTTTTCGAACTACTCAAAAATTCCGCTACCGGTTCTCCGATCTGCTCAAAATTTTTGCTACCGGTTCTCCAGAACCTGTCAGAACCTGCTGGATTTCACCCCTGCTACAGGAGCTCCTCCACAGATAACGAAGAAAACAATAAGCGAAGCAACATTGTCATTCCGTATGTTGCAGGCATATCGGAAAAGCTCAGGAGGATCTTTAGCCAACATAACATATGTGCACACTTCAAACCCAAGAATACACTAAGGCAGAAGTTTGTCCATTGTCCATCCCAAAGATAAAACACCCAGACATAAACGGAGCAATGTAGTATATGCAGTACAATGCAGCAAGCCATGTGCAGATCTGTACAATGGGGAAACAAAACAACCACTTCATAAACGCATGGCATAACATAGGAGACCAAACCCATCAGGGCTACATTCAGCCATCCATCTGCATTTAAAAGACAAAGGCCACTTGTTTGAAGACGGCTGTCTTCAAAGTCCACATTTTGGACAGAGAGGACTGCTGGTTTGAAAGAGGGGTCAAAGAGGCCATCTATGTCAAAATTGAACAGCCTTCTCTCAATAGAGGGGGAGGGGTACATCATCATCTATCTCCAATCTACAACACAGTCCTTTCATCAGTTCCAAGAAGGCTCCACACTAATTTGCACCACTCAGGTGACCTGATGACACAGATAAATCTCCAGGTGACCTTAACGACTTGCTAAAAGAATGCAGAGCTGAAGAAGCTTCTTGGATGAGAAGTGAAACGTCTTCAAAGAAAAACCAGAAAGTCCAGTTGCCTCTTGAAAAAGCACCTTTGGGACATAGTCCAGCCAAGATCTTAGTCATGGCTTGGAACGAACATGTGACAATGGCTTTGGATCAGATTGTGCTTGTGAAATTATAGAACTCTCTGTTTGCTGAGGAACACAAGAGATGCCTTGAGTGCCATAAGGGCAGGACAAAATGTAAATTAGATTAGATTAGAATTTTTTATTGGCCAAGTGTGATTGGACACACAAGGAATTTGTCTTCGTGTATATTCTCTCAGTGTACATAAAAGAAAAGATACGTTCATCAAGAATCATAAGGTGCAACACTTAATGATAGTCATAGGGTACAAATAAGCAATCAGGAAACAATCAATATCAATATAAATCGTAAGGATTCAAGCAGCAAAGTTACAGTCATGCAGTTATAAGTCATAAAGTGGGAGGAGATGAGTGATAGGAACAATGAGAAGACTAATAGTAATAGTAGTGCAGACTTAGTGAATAGTTTGACAGTGTTGAGGGAATCAGTTGTTTAGCAAAGTGATGGCGTTCAGGAAAAAACTGTCCTTGTGTCTAGTTGTTCTGGTGTGCAGTGCTCTATAGCGTCGTTTTGAGGGTAGGAGTTGAAAGAGTTGATGTCCAGGATGTGAGGTGTCTGTAAATATTTTCCCAGCCCTCTTTTTGACTCGTGCAATATACAGGTCCTCAATGGAAGGCAGGTTGATAGCAATTGTTTTTTTCTGCAGTTCTAATTATCCTCTGAAGTCTGTGTCTCTCTTGTTGGGTTGCAGAACCAAACCAGACAGTTATAGAGGTGCAGATGACAGACTCAATAATTCCTCTGTAGAAGACCTACTGAAAGACAGATCACAGGAACAGAACAATGGAAAAAAACATCACTTGTCACCTACAGCTCACAGCAGAAACCAATACAATGTAAATAAGCTACAGCTCATACTGGATAATGAACCTGCCCTTTGTCGGACACCAGGGGGCAGGCCCATACTTGCATATAGAAAACCATCCAGTTTGAAACCGATTCTCACCAGCAGCAAAAAGCAACAGGACAACGATGCTAACGTGAGAAACAGGCACTGCAACAAATCTCTGTGCCAACAGCTTCGACCCAGGACAAACAGGCACATAATAATTAATGGGCAGAAATTTGATATCAGCACCCAAACCAAGGACAAAATAGAATCAGAGCATTTCAGATGCCTAAGACACTTTATAGCAGCGGTCCCCAATCTTTGGGGCACCAAGGACCGGTTCCTTGGAGAGAGTGGGTCAGTGGGGGTTGCTCCTGGGTCTGTCAGGGCGGGTGGGTGGAGTGGGAGGCTCCGCCCACCCACCCTGACATCATAAAGGGTGATCTGCGCGTGTGCTCCCGTTGTGAACCGGTAGTAAAGGTAAGTAGAACCCACCCCTGGAATGGGTGTGGTTTTGTGTGCTGCCTGCATTCCGCGGATGGAGCTTCGCTTATTTCTACAGCCCAGTTTCTGGCATGCTGTGGTCTGTTGCTGTTCCGCAGACTGAGGGTTTGGGACCCCTGTCTTAGGATATACCTAATAGGTTAGAAGGTTTTTTTTTTATTATTATTATTATTATTATTATTAAATTTGTATATCGCCCTACTCCCGAAGACTCAGGGCGGTGAACAGGCACAGGATAAAATACAGAAATACAAAAGTTAGAAACAATTTAAAACCAAATTAAATAATTTAGCCCACGACAATTAAAATCCCAATAATTTAAAACAAATTAAAATTTCAGTTTAAAAAATTTAAAAGAAAGGGGAGAAAAATTAGGCCAGGCCGGCTTGCTGGAATAAGAGGATCTTAAGAGCACGGCGGAAAGTGCGCAGATCTGGGATCCTCCGTATCTCCGGGGGGAGCTCGTTCCAGATAGTGGGTGCCCCCACAGAGAAGGCCCTCTCCCTGGGGGCCGCCAGTCGACACTGCTTGGCTGATGGCACCCGGAGGAACCCCTCTCTATGAGAGCGTACCGGCCGGTGGGAGGCTGTTTGTGGTAGTAGGAGGTAGTAGTAGGTTGTAGCTTTAGTCTGGCAAAAATTTGTTTATGAGGGGTGAGCAAATAAAGAACTGGATTCAAGTGGATCTCATGATATTGTCTCTGGGCGTGAGCCTGATATCCAATTATTTTGGCTATGCTAGAATTCATATCATCTGATCTTCTGATAGCAAGTCAGTTTATCTAATAAAAATAAATAAGGATCACAATTTCTGATCATTTCTACCAGACCTCCCAGTTTTGATGCTGCAAAAGAAAAACAGAATGCATATTGGACATTAATACAACTGAGACAGTGGTGAAATCCAAATTTTTTTACTACTGGTTCTGTGGGCGTGGCTTGGTGGGCGTGGTAGGGGAAGGATACTGCAAAATCTCCATTCCCACCCCACTCCAGGGGAAGGATACTGCAAAATCTCCATTCCCACCCCACTCTGGGGCCAGACAGAGGTGGTATATGCCGACTCTCCAAATGACTCAAAATTTCCGCTACCGGTTCTCCGAACTACTCAAAATTTCTGCTACCAGTTCTCCAGAACCTGTCAGAACCTGCTGGATTTCATCCCTGAACTGAGAGAGTCAAGAGATATTTCGCGAGAAGAGTCCTCCACTCCTCTGCTCACAACAGAATACCTTGTGCCACCAGACTTGAAATTTTGGTCTTAGACAACTTAAAACTATGCCGCCTTAGGTCTGACCTAAGCGTAGTACACAAAATTATCTGCTACAATGTCCTACCTGTCAATGACTACTTCAAATTCAACCATAACAATACACCGGCAAACAATAGATACAAACTTAAAATAAACCGCTCCAAACTCGATTGCAGAAAATACGACTTCAGCAACAGAGTGGTCAATGCCTGGAATGCACTACCTGACTCTGTTGTTACATCCCCAAACCCCCAAAACTTTAACCTTAGACTGTCTACTGTTGACCTCACCCCATTCCTAAGAGGTCTGTAAGGGGCGTGCATAAGCGCACCAGGGTGCCTACTGTCCCTGTCCTAATATTCCTTTTTACTTACTCTTTTCATGTATTCAAATTATGTTTACACTTTTACCTGTTAGTTTTCTGAGGTTTTCGCGGGTGTTTGTATGTAGGTCTTTGGTTATTCGGGTTTTCTCCTGCGTAAAATTGGAAGTGTCTTGGCGACGTTTCGACGAAGTCTCATTCGTCATCTTCAGGCTGGTGTTTTCGGCTTCGTGCTTCTAGGAGCAATGTGTGATCGCAGCCGTTTCTTCCTTTTAACTGCTTTTAACTTCCTTTTACCTGTTATCTTATATATGCTTGAAAAATAAATAAAATAAAAATAAATAAATAAATGTGAATATTAATTCCTATCCTTTTGTTTCCAGGGCAGCCATTTGACCCCTCGCTATCCATCATGAAATCATTTTCAAATGTGATCTGTGCTGCAGTATTTGGACATCGGTTTTCCACTGAAGATAAGAACTTCCTGGAGTTGGTGGAAGCAATTTTCTTTTTAGCCATGTTTGGAAGCAGCGTGCCTTACCTTGTAAGTAGTACTAATCTTGTTTTTCGTTTTTTAATCTTCTCTTTCCCACATGAGTCTGTCAGTTCAAAATTTTCCAAAAGTATGAATGTATGGATTTTAACAAAAATTCCTATGTAACTGAGTTTCCGTCATTGTCCCTTTCCTCTTCTCTCCTCTCCTCCCCTCTCCTCCCCCTCCTCTCCTCTCTTTTCCTCCTCTCCCCTTCCCTCAGGGGTGAAATCCAGCAGGTTCTGACAGGTTCTGGAGAACCGGTAGTGGAAAGTTTGAATAGTCCAGAGAACCAGTAGCAGAAATGTTGAATAGTTCGGAGAACCAGCAAATGACACCTCTGGCTGGCCTCAGAGTGGGGTGGGAATGGAGATTTTGCAGTATCCTTCCCCCAGGAGTGGGGAGGGAATGGGAATTTTGCAGTATCCTTCCCTTGCCACGACCACCAAGCCATGCCCACCAAGCCACACCACGCCCACCAAGCCACGCCTACAGAATTGGTAGTAAAAAAACTGCCCTCCCCTCTGCTCTCCCTTCCACCCTCCCTTCCCATCCTATCCTCTTATTTGTAACTTCAAATCAGTGTTGAGTCCTAGCAACTACCTGGAAAAATTTCTGCTGTTTTTTTAATCCACTCTTAAATTACAATATAGCATGAATTTAGTTTACTTTCAACCAGTTGCTCTTTTAACTTCTTGTTGGACATTGTTAAAGGAGGGGGACATGAGAAGGAAGGGTTGTGGTAACTAGGTAATATCATCAGTGCATCATTAAAAGGTAAAGGTTCCCCTTGCACATATGTGCTAGTCATTCCTGAGTCTAGGGGGCAGTGCTCATCTCCGTTTCAAAGCCGAAGAGTCAGCGTTGTCCGAAGACGTCTCCGTGGTCATATGGCTGGCATGACTAAACACCAAAGGCGCACGGAATGCTGTTACCTTCCCACCAAAGGTGGTCCCTATTTTTCTACTTGCATTTTTTACCTGCTTTCGAACTGCTAGGTTGGCAGAAGCTCGGACAAGGAACGGGAGCTCACCCTTTTACACGGCACTATGGATTTAAACAGCTGAACTGCCGACCTTTCAATCGACAAGCTCAGCGTCTTAGCCACTAAGCCACCGCGTCCCTATAGAAACTCATTACATAGACATAAATTGTCTGTTAAATCCCAGTTTTCATACACCTAAGATCAAGGACATTGATTTGCTCAATCCAGGATCCAAAAAGATCTTTTTATATTGTAACTGAATTCTCTCTCTCTCTCTCTCTCTCTCTCTCTCTCTCTCTCTCTCTCTCTCTCTCTCTCTCTCTCTCTCTCCCTCTCCCTCTCCCTCTCCCTCTCCCTCTCCCTCTCTCCCTCTCCCTCCCTCCCTCTCTCTCTCTCTCAGCTCTATGAAGCTTTTCCATCTATCATGAAGCATCTGCCTGGCCCTCACCAGACTGCCCTATCTTTTGTGGAGATGATGCTTTCATTTGCAAAGAAGGAGATCAAAAAGCATAAGGAGAATCACAGCCAGCACGAACCACAGGATTTCATCGATTTCTACCTATTTCAAATGGAGAAAGTACACATTTGCCTTGCCTTGGGAATATTGCTTGAAGATGGATCAGTGCATAACTCCCACCTAAAAAAGAATATTTGCAGCTCAGGGGTGAAATGAGGGGTCCTTGGTGCTCTCTGATCTGACTTGTTTTCTTGCAAATGTTTCATTACCCTAACTAGGTAATATCATCAGTACTAGGTAACATTGCTAGCATTGATGATGTTATCTAGGTAGGACAGGGGTTTGCAACCTTAAATACTCAAAGAGCCATTTGGATCTATTTGCCACAGAAAAGAAAACACCGGGAGCCACAAAACCTGGGTGGGCGTGGCCAACTCGATGTCACTCACTTCCACCAGTCACATGACCCCCTAGCCACGCCTACCCAGCCGGTCATTAGGGCAGAGAACCAGTTGTTAAAAAACACCAGGAACCACAAAATCCTTTTGACATATCTCTCTCTCCCCTCTCTCCCCCTCTCTCTGTATCTCGCTGTTTCTGCCATGGCCGCTTCTCCATCCCCTGCCATCACCCTTACCTTCTCAGGCCAGGCGAGGAGTGACTGGGAGGGGAGGATGAGGGGCAGGGCCAGCCAGTGGTGGGATCACCTGAAAGGAAGCTACAGCAGAGGGCCCAAAGAGCTGCATGCGGCTCCAGAACCACAGATTGCTGACTCCTGAGAAGGGTAATGAAACGTCTGCAAGAAAACAAGCCAGCTCAGAGAGCACCAAGGACCCCAACTCGCATCTATTCCTGAGCTCTTTCTACAATCATTGATAAAATTCCCTATGTGAATTGTAATCCTTGAAAGTATTAGAATGAGATATAATGTCTACCTCTTTCCCTTAAGGCAGGGGTGTCAAACTCAATTTCATTGAGAGTCGCATCAGGGTTGTGTTTGACCTGGGGGGGGGGGGGGGGGGGGCCTGGCCAGGGTGGGTGTGGCCAGAGTGGGTGTGGCCAGCTTGACATCACTCGTGTTGGGGGCACCTGTGGTGGTCTGAGTGTTTTGCAGTAGTGGCTTGCAAATCCCAATCGCTACCAGTTCGCTCATGGGCGTGCGTGCCCTCATTCACATGCGAGGCTTCTGCACATGCGCAGAAGCCTCTGGGTGAGTGGGTGGAGCCTTCTGCCGCTACCGGTTCGCCCAATCCAGGGCGAACTGGTAGCAACCCACCTCTGGTGTTCTGACAGTGAAAATGGGCTCCTGATCTCTGTTTTCGGCTGCGACGGCCTCCTGCAACTCTCTGCCAATGAAAACAGAGCTTGAGAGAGGGCTGCATGCGGCCCTCCCAATCTCTGTTTTTGCTGGCAGAGGCACAATGGACTGGCCCTTCGCTGTTTCCAGGGGGGCCCCACGGGCCAGAACTAAACACCCTGAGGGCTGGATTTGGCCTTGAGTTTGACACCCCTGCCTTAAGGGAAGGGAAAGATATATTTAGATTTTTTTTGGTGTCATCTTCCTGCAGACACGAGGAAGGTGTTCACTGTAAACTATTTTGATAGATGCTATATGTTGCTTCCTGCACAACCACTAAGCATAAGGACCTGGATAACTACTAAACCAAATTATCTTGATGGAATTCCTTTTTATTGGTGACATCATGAGTCTAAGCCAGATGTCTACCTTTCACTCTCCTAGTTTACAGTTTTCACATGGAGCCTTTAAAAGAGCTAAAAATATTTTTTCTCCTAATTATCATCCTGCCAAAATTATTCGCTTAGAATTGTCCGCTCACGAGATCGGGGAACACTCAGCAATAGTATCCCAATTGCTCCTAATATTTCCTTCCCTGAAGTCCTCCGTACAGGTAGCCTCCAACTTACAACAGTTCATTTAGGGAGACTAATAATTGTTCAAAGTTACAACTGCCCTGAAAAAAGTGACTTATGACCCTTATTCACACTTATGACCATTGGGGCATTCACATGGTCATGTGGTCAACATTCAGTCGCTTGGCAACCGACTCATATTTATGACAGTTGCTGTGTCCCGGGGTCATGTGATCAACTTTTGCGACCTTCTGATAAATAAAGTCAATGAGGAAGCCAGAGTCACTTAACAACTGTGTCACTAACTTAATAAGGGATTCACTTAATAAATGTGGCAAGAAAAGTCATAAAACGGGGCAAAATTCATGTAACAAATGTCTCACTTAACAACAAAATTTGGGGCTTAGTTGTGGTGGTAAATCAAGGAATACCTGAATAGAACTTGTCCCAATGTTATCTCCACCAGAGGTGGTATTCAGCAGGTTCTGACCAGTTCTAGACAACCGGTAGCAGAAATGTTGAGTAGTTCGGAGAACCGGTAAATACCACCTCTGACTGGCCCCATCTATTCTCTGCCTCCCAAGTCCCAGCTGATCAGGAGGAAATGGGGATTTTACAGTATCCTTCCCCTGGAGTGGGGAAGGAATAGAGATTTTATAATATCCTTCCCCTGCCATGCCCACCAAGCCATGCCCACCATGCCATGCCACGTGCACCAAGCCTGCCATGCCATGCCCACCAAGCCATGCCCACAGAACCTGTAGTAAATTTTTTTGAATCCCACCACTGATCTCCACCCTCCCCAATCTCATGCCATCCTAATGGTTTGGGCTTGGGTTTCAGGCCCCTTATCCCCTGACAAGAGGACCAATAGAACAGGGAGATAATAAATTGTGGAAATATTGGAAATAATAAGAAAATGCCATTTCACCTATTTTATTGTTAATCCTAGAGGAAGGATGATCCCAATTCTACCTACAATGAAGACAACTTGGCTCAGTGCATTGTTGACTTCTTTGTGGCAGGAACGGAAACCACCGCAAGCTCTCTGAAATGGGCATTGCTCTTCATGGCAAGTCATCTGGATATCCAAGGTGGGATACAGTGATACAGTGGTGATAAAAACCTGGGATTATTATTAGTAGAATGTAATGCAGCACCCTTCTTTCTCAAAGGATTCCCATGTAGGCAAACGTCCATTTGGAATAACTATTCTTCTTACATGAATGACTACAACAGCAGATCTTATCCACTAGCATGCGACCCCAACCACCAATAACCTGCCCAGTAGAATCGACAAGAGCAGACCATAGTGTTGTGGCCCGCCAGCAGAGCTGGTGGCAGACTCAGACAATGAAGAGGTTGGGGAGGAACATGGGCCAATCCTGGAGCCTGGGGAGGGCTCTGATGAGTGCTCTGTGTCAGAGGCAGAGATGAGGCCAGGGCCGTCTGATAGTTGTCAGATGCCTTCTGAGTTGGATATCAGTGGGGCAGAAGAACAACTGGAGCCTGTTCCTAGTGTGTGCATGCACAGAGCTGCCAGGAGAAGGGAACAGCTAAGGAACAAGGGTTGACTCGGGAGTAAAGCCACAGGCGGACGGTGAATGGCCCCTTCCATAGGGAATAAAGAGGAGCGAAAGGGGAGGGGAGTTTGCAGGAGGCAATTAGTTCGCTTAATTGGTTCGTGACTCTCAGATTTCTTGCCAACTTTTGAAGATATCGGCCTGGCAGCTCTCCAAGCCAGATCAGGTCTGTGACTGTAAATTCTCCCTTGAAAGACTTTGCTGGATGTGAATGAGACGAATTCACAGTAACTTAATAAAAAGGGTTTTTTTGTCGGGACAAGGAGTCTGCTTCATGCTCTTGGGAAGCCTAGGTCAAAACACATAGCCACAGGGCTAACAACCAGTAGGAAAATTGAGGCTTGGATATTTGCTCTTCCTACTCCCCAATCAGTAAAAAGATGGTGGAATTTGATTTTATATTCATCTGCCAGATCCATTTCCAGGGAAGAACTACTGAAAGACAGACCACAGAAACAGAACAATGGAAAAAAAAAAACACCGCTTGTTACCTACAGCTCACGGCAGAGACCAATACAATGTTAATAAGCTACAGCTCATATTGGATAATGCACCTGCCTTTTGTCGGACACCAGGGGGCAGGCCCATACTTGCATATAGAAAACCATCCTGCTGGAAGCCGATTCTCACCAGCAGCCAAAAGCAACAGGACTACGATGCTAACATGGGAAACAGCAACAAATCTCTGTGCCAACAGCTTCGACCCAGGACAAACAGGGCAGACTTTGGCACACAATACTTAATGTGCAGAAATTTGATCTCAGCACCCAAACCAAGGTCAAAGAGCATTTCAGCAGCCTAGGACACTTTATAGCAGCGGCCCCCAGTCTTTGGGGCACCAGGGACCAGTTCTGTGAATAGAGGTCTTTCCGTGGACTGGAAGAGGCATGGATTTGTGTGCTGCCTGCAACCTGTGGGGCTTTGCTTGTTTGTGCGACCGGGTTTCTAGTATGCCACAAACAGCACCAGTCCACGGAAAAGGGGTTGGCGACCCCTGATTTATAGCATACCTCAAAGTGACAAAAATAGGATTTTAATGCACCCATGAAGAAGAGGCTGAGATCTATGATTCTGTGTATTTCAATCTTGGTGTATTTGATTATCTCATCAACTTTTGCTTGACCACATACTTTCAGTATGTGTTAATACCACTTTATAATGCCTTGGTAAGGCCACACTTGGAATACTGCATCCAGTTTTGATCGCCACAATGTAAAAAAGATGTGGAGACTCTAGACAGAGTGCAGAGAAGAGCAACAAAGAGGATTAGGGGACTGGAGGCTAAAACATACGATGAACAGTTGCTGGAATTGGGCATGTCTAGTTTAATGAAAAGAAAGACTAGGGGTGACATGATAGCAGCGTACCAATATCTCAGGGGCTGCCCCAAAGAAGAGGGAGTCAAGCTATTCTCCAAAACACCTGAGGGTAGAACAAGAAGCAATGGGTGGAAACTAATTCAGGACAGAAGCAACCTAGAACTAAGGGGAAATTTCCTGAGAGAACAATTAATCAGTGGAACAACTTGCCACCCGAAGTTGTAAATGCTCCAACACTGGAAGTTTTTAAGAAGAGATTGGATAACCAGTTGTCTGAAGTGGTGTAAGGTTTCCTGCCTAAGCAGGGGATTGGACTAGAAGACCTTCAAGGTCCCTTCCAATTCGGTTATTCTATTCTAGCTCAAGGTTGACTCAGCTTTCCATCCTTCTGAGGTCAATAAAATGAGGAACCAGATTGTTGGGGGCAATATACTGACTCTGTAAACCGCTTAGAGAGGGCTGTAAAGCACTGTGAAGCGGTATATGTCTTAAGTGCTATTGCTATTGCTACCCTTCTTGTACATACTCATCAACAGAGGCAGGAATGGCAAATTAGAAACATAATTCTATTGTAAAACTACCCATACCAAGTGCTCCAGTATCAAAATAACAGCCCAAGCCCCCACAAGAGAAGCTGTGTAATGACACTATTTAGACAAGCACAAACATTCTGCAGCGATCCTGAACATTAGAAAAAGGAAACAGATCATCTATACAACATCTTCCAACAAAATGGATACCTACGCAAGAAGGGAAGAGACAGAAACAGAAACAAACATCAATCTCCTAGAAGAGAACTTAATAATTACGGATAAAATTGCAAATATTGAAATAATAATAATAGAAAAATATTGAAAAATATGCACAAAATAGTAATAGAATCTTAGAAACAAGCAAAAATTAATATGCACCAAGAAGGAAATTTGTTAAACATGTGCAAATGACATGACAAGCTTTGCATTGTTTAATTTTAGGGATAAAAGAATAAGATAACTAAAATCACTAAGTCAGAAATAATACAAGCAGACGCATACAATTTTATTTGTCAAGGAGAAACTAGTTTTTGTGTGATAAAATGTTCCCTTATCCCAGAGGGAAATAAAATGAAACCTGGAAAAAACACCTCTGGGACAACAGACACTTAACAGACTCAATGCATAATTTGGGGAATCCTCCTAACCTATCATGGTTAGGAGGGCCTTGGCTCAACTTCGGGTTGTGTCCCATTTATGTCCCTTCCTTGATCAAGAAGCCCTCCTGGAGGAAAAAGTTGCAGACTACAGAACCATTAGCACTACTCAGGTGACCCTGAGGACACAGGTAAACCTCCAAGTGCTTCAACGACCCTCTAAAAGAATGCAAATGACCAGCTTTGTCTGTAAGGAACATGAATCCTGCCATTCCCCACTATCCTGTCAGAACTGAAGAAGCTTCTTGGATGAGAAGCGAAATGTCTTCAAAAGAAAAAAGAAAGAAAGTCCAGTTGCCTTGGGGACTCCTGGATGGACTATTGCAAAGCATTCTACCTGGGTTTATGCTTCAAGAGTATCCAGAAGCTGCAACTGATGTGGAATGCAATGGTACACACAATTCTGGGTACCCCTGGAGAAGCACATTTAACATCTTTGCTATGTGAGCTGCACTGGGTGCTGATTTGCTTCTGGGTCTAATTTAAGATGCTGGTCATCACCTTTTATCAGGTTTGCCTGATACGCCAGTTGCGCCCCTTTCTGGATCAGGACTCCTTATGCACAGTCACGCATGCCCTAGTCACTTCTCGCCTGGACTACTGTAACGCTCTCTACATGGGGCTCCCCTTGAGGAACACCCGGAGGCTCCAGCTGGTGCAGAATGCGGCCGCGCGGGTGATTATGGGAGCGACTTGGCGCTCCCATGTAACACCTCTCCTGCGCAAGCTGCACTGGCTCCCAGTGGTCTTCCGGGGGCGCTTCAAGGTATTGGTTCTCACCTTTAAAGCGCTCCATGGCTTAGGGCCAGGGTATTTACAAGACAGCCTTCTGCAACCGATAACCTCACAGCGGCCAATACGCTCTCACAGAGAGGGCCTCCTCAGAGTGCCGTCGGTCAAGCAATGTCAGCTGGCAGCCCCCAGGGGGAGAGCCTTCTCTGTGGGGGCACCCGCCTTCTGGAATGAGCTCCTTTCCGGAATACGACTGATCCCGGACCTCCGTACTTTCCGTAAGGCCCTGAAGACTTTATTCCACCAAGCCGGCCTAGCCTAAAAGGTCTTAAGGGTTATTTTTTAAATTGTATAGATGTGGGGTTTTAAATTGGGAGGCCGACCGATTTAATTTATTTTAGTTATTTTTAACTTTTATATTATATGTATCTTAATTTTGGCTGTCCACCGCCCTGAGTCCTTTGGGAGAAGGGCGGTATATAAATTTAAATAAATAAAAACAAATAAATAATAAATATAAAGCCCTTCATGGCATGGGAGCAGGATACCTGTGGAACTGTCTTGTCCCAACTACATCAGCCTTAGCTTTTTGAATTTATCATTTTGATTTTTGTTTTTTCTTGTAACTTGTTCTTAATTCCATTTTTAGCTGGGCTTTTATTAAGATGTTGATACTGTTTTGTCTTTATGATGTTCCAAATTGCCCAAAGTCCCTTAGGTGAAATAGGCAGTGGATGGGGACGTGGTGGCTCAGTGGCTAAGACGTTGAGCTTGTCGATCGAAAGGTTGGCAGTTCGGCGGTTCGAATCCCTAGTGCCGCATAATGGGGTGAGCTCCCGTGACTTGTCCCAGCTTCTTCCAACCTAGCAGTTCGAAAGCACGTAAAAATGCAAGTAGAAAAATAGGGACCACCTTTGGTGGGAAGGTAACAGTGTTCCATGCGCCTTTGACATTGAGTCATGCCGGTCACATGACCACGGAGATGTCTTCAGACAGCACTGGCTCTTTGGCTTTGAAACGGAGATGAGTGCTGCCCCCTAGAGTCAGGAACGACTAGCACAAATGTGCAAGGGGAACCTTTACTTATATACCGCTTGTTTTCACTCTTTTCCTTAGATAAAGTATACGAGGAAATGGAAAAAGTTTTCAGTCCATCTCACTCCATCTGTTATGAAGATCGGAAGAAACTGCCATATACCAATGCTGTGATTCATGAGCTCATGCGAACCAAATATTCCTTGTTGTTCGGGCTTCCTAGACAAAGTGTGCAGGATATCTACTCAAATGGCTTTCTCTTCCCCAAGGTATAGTTTATAGATAGTGTATCTTTGGAGTCTTCAGTTTAAGTGTTCCACCCTTATGAAGAATTTCTTCGGCAGAGCTCTGTTTAACACAAGGTGTGAGCTCTGAAAATGTTGTTATTGTTATTATTATTTATTTATTTATTTGTTTGTTTGTCAAACATGTAAAAGATAACAGGTATAAGTATAAACATAAATATAAACACAGAAAATGGGTACGAATAAATGGGGACAGTAGGACAGGGACGGTAGGCACGCTGGTACGCTTATGCACGCCCCTTACAGACCTCTTAGGAATGGGGTGAGATCAACAGTAGACAGTCTAAGGTTAAAGTTTTGGGGGTTTGGGGATGTAACAACAGAGTCAGATAGTGCATTCCAGGCATTGACCACTCTGTTGCTGAAGTCGTATTTTCTGCAATCGAGTTTGGAGCAGTTTACCTTAAGTTTGTATCTATTGTGTGCTTGTGTGTATTATTGTGGTTGAAGCTGAAGTAGTTATTGACAGGTAGGACGTTGTAGCAGATAATTTTGTGTACTACGCTTAGGTCAGACCAAAGGCCACATAGTTCTAGGTTGTCCAAGCCCAAAATTTAAAGCCTGGTGGCATAAGGTATTCTGTTGTGAGCAGAGGAGTGGAGGACTCTTCTCGTGAAATATCTCTGGACTCTCTCAATTGTATTAATATCCGATATACAGTGCGGATTCCAGGCAAATGAGCTGTATTCAAGAATTGGTCTAGCAAAGGTTTTGTATGTCCTAGTTTGCAGTACAATAGTACCGGAGAAGAAGCTTTGCAAGATTAGGTTGACAACTTTTAATGCTTTTTTGGCAATGCTAAAATGTGCTAAATGCTAAAATGTGCAATTGAAAAACCCCATTTGCAGTGTACAAGTGAATCAGGGCTGGGCAACTTGATGAAACGAAGTATTCCATTTAAATAAATAAATACGTGAATAAAACCTGTGCTTATCCAGATGTTTACCTCAGTCTATTTCTGTCTTATAGGGAGCTATTATTATTGCAGACTTACGTTCTGTTCTTTTTGATCCTGAACAATGGGAGACCCCCGAAGAGTTCAACCCCAATCATTTTTTGGACAAGGAAGGAAATTTTGTGAAAAAAGAAGTATTTCTTCCTTTTGGAGCAGGTAATCTGTAAAAAAAAAAAAACAGTTATGATTGGCAAATGATACTTATTTTAGGAAGGGGTGAAAAAAGCAAAAAAATAAATAAAAATTGCTTCATGACATTTGGTCCATTTGTAAAACCAATGTAAAATGAAAGACTTTCCACAATATGCAATCGGATCAAAGGGAGGGAAAAATTCGTGTGTCATTGGACTCCAGAAAGAGGTAATTGATCCAAACATCATGATTTTAGATATACCCTTAATATCGCTGATAGATAAACTAACTCCAGACAGTATCATATCTTGGGGACATTACAGTGATGGGTTCCTCCCAGTTCGGTCCGGTTCAGCCGAGCCGGTAGTGGTGACGATATGACGTCACTGAACCGGTTCTCTTTGTCTGGGAGCTGGGCCCTCCCGCCCGCCCCCGCATTATTCCTACCTTTTATTTCTTCTTTTTTAGCCCAGCTGATAGGTGCGGCAGAATGGATTGCCGCACCTCAGCTGGGCAGATTCCTAACACGCTTGCATGGAGCGTATTGTTATGATTGAATCTGAAGTAGTCATTGACAGGTAGGACATCATAGCAGATAATTTTGTGTACTACGCTTAGGTCAGACCTAAGGCAGCTTAGTTCTAAATTGTCTAAGCCCAAAGAGAGGCTCTGGAGGCTGGGGACAGCAAAAAACGTCACTTCCTGTTCAACCAGGAGTTGGGAAATGGGCTGCTTCAGGCCTCCGGAGGGCATGGGGAAGGCTGTTTTCGCCCTCCCCAGATTCATTGAGAAGATCTGGAGCCAAGTGAGAAAGAAAAATGGGCCTACTGGGCCATCGGGTGCCAGGAGCTGGGGGAGGGGGGGTTGCACGTGCATGCGCAGGGCAGGCACATAGAATTATGGGTGTGGACACGCATGGATGCAAACCTGTCCCGTCCCCCTCCTCCTGACACCCGATGGCAAAAAGGTTAGCCATCACTGATCTAGCAAATGTTTTGTATGCTCTATTTAGTAGTTGGTAACAACATTACCAGAGAAGAAGCTATGCAAGATTAGGTTAACAACTCTTAATGCCTTTTTAGTGAGTAGAACTAGGACACCTCTGAATTTTTCCCCAATGGTTCAGATTTGGTTTCTTCCAGGGGCGGGTTCCAAACCCTAGCAGGAAAGGATGCAGAGGTTTTGAAAGAGCTCAGGTGTCTGCCAGGTGCTACTGCCAGCAGAGTCAAGAGGCGTATTTTTAAGTAAGGACGGGGTGGGCTTCAAAAATTTTAGCAAGGGGTTCTCTTCCCGGTTGCTGGGTGGCTGCGGCCATGATGGGCGTGGCCTAGTCAGCCTCCTGCACCATGGTGGCAGGGGGGGCGTTTTTGCCCTCCCCAGGCTCCAGAGGTTTTCCTCAAGCTTCCAGGAGGGTGAAAATGGCCTTCCCAGGCTCCGGAGGCCCTCTGGAGGGCACTCTTCCCGAACTTCTGGTAGGCCTGTTTTTCACCCTCCCCGAGCCTCCGCGCATGCCTTGCACTTACCTGCATCCAAAACAGACCGCGTGGGGACTCCTGGGAAGGGAGGGGTGGGATGGGTTGGGCCAGCCAGGAGTGCGATTTGGGAGTTCTCCAAACTGCACAGAATCTTAGCGGTGACATCATATCGTCACTGCTACCGGCTCGGCCTAACCGGACCGAACCGGGAGGAACCCACCACTGATCTGCATATATGCTCACAACTTTTGGGGAGTTTGGAGGAGCCAAAAGAGAAGGAGGAAAGAAAAGGGGAAGGAAGAGAGGAAAAAGGCAAAGGCTGATGGGTGAAAAATATCTCTGTCAAGCTTCGTTGTTATCTCCAAATAAATGAATTTCCAAACGCCCGATCTTTGAGGAAATTTTTCTCTTTATTGAGCATAACGAACTGACCCTGACTCAATGCGCAGTTAGCACTGAACTTTGCCCCCCCCAAAACCTCTCTTTCTGGTTCCCAATTCTCTGCGTCTCATTGGGCATCATCCAAGCCACTCTTCCCATCCCATCTCCATCAATTCACAGGAATGTCCCCCCTCCCATCCCATCTCCGTGGAGACAGTTCTTCAGGGGAATTAAGTAGGTGAAAGTTCAAGCCTCTCTTCTCCTTCCTTATGGCAGCTTGGAAGCTGACATCCCCTTTGTTTTCCATGGTGTAAATGGGGCACAAGAAGTTTTTATATTTAATCAAAATGAATTGTCACAACAGTGGATGCAGTTCTGCAAGATGCAAAGTAAAGGGAAAAGACCAATATCTTCGTTGCATTAACATAATACCGTAGGTTTAAACTGGTTAGTGAATTAACTTGTTTTCTAAATTCACTTGATTTTTAAAACATGAATTACCCACTTGGCTAAGTTCATACAGTGAGAGAAAGCACAGAAACACCCATCACACTGAACTCCACCCAAGCTTAGTCTTTTAGCTTTTAAGGAACACGGCGTATGCTTCCCTGCAGGGGTGAAATTCAAAATTTTTCCCTACCGTTTCTGTGGGCGTGGTTTGGTGGGTGTGGCAGGGGAAGGATACTGCAAAATCTCCATTCCCGCCCCACTCCAGGGGAAGGATACTGCAAAATCCCCATTCCCTCCCCACTTTGGGGCCAGCCAGAGGTGGTATTTGCCGATTCTCCAAACTACTCAAAATTTCTGCTACCAGTTCTCCAGAACCTGTCAGAACCTGCTGAATACGAGACCACCTTCTGCCACCGATAACCTCCCACCGGCCAATTCGCTCCCACAGAGAGGGTCTCCTCAGGGTGCTGTCGGTCAAGCAATGTCAACTGACGACCCCCAGGGGGAGAGCCTTCTCTGTGGGAGCACCCGCCCTCTGGAACGAGCTACCCCCAGGAATACGACTGATCCCGGACCTCTGTACTTTCCGTCGAGCATTAAAGACATTCTTATTCCAGCAAGCTGGGCTGGTTTAAAATTTTAATGGGTTATTTTATGGGGAAAGGGTTTTAAAATTTAGGGAAGCCAAATTGATTTAATTCTGTTTTAATTCTTTTTAATTTTTATATTGTATGTGTTTTAAATTTTGGCTGTTCATCGCCCTGAGTCCTTCGGGAGAAGGGCAATATACAAATTTAAATAATAAATAAAAATAAATAAATAAATTTCACCCCTGCTTCCCTGGCGTTTTGAAGGAGGACGACTACATGCACCAGCCCAAATTCCCTTCACCTGATCATTGCAAAGTGGGACAGATGGGTAATGAATAATAGATTATTACCATTTTAAAAGTCTTTTCTCTTCATTTTTGTGTAGGAGCTCGTGTCTGCTTGGGACAACTCCTTGCAAATATTGAGCTATTCAACACCTTTACCAGACTGCTGAGGGCGTTTAGGTTGGAGCCACCAGAAGGTGTGGAACTCAGTGAAAAATCCATAATAGGGGCAACTGTGCATCCCGCTCCCTACAAGATTTGTGCTCTCCCTCGTATCAGGACACCATAATATGGGCAAACAATAAGAGGGTCATGTTTATTACATGTTATGATCTCTCCCTTTTTTATTTCTTTGATCACCTTCAAGGCTGGCTCTTCAGATCTTGCTGAAGGACTCCTCCTGGCATCTCTCAGTATTCCTAACCATACTTGGCAGCCACATCTAGCTCTCTCATACTGATTGCGGTAGTGGCTATAGCTACCTGCCTAACCCCTGGAAAAGGGGCTAATGCAGGGGTGAAATGCTACGTGGTTCACACCGGTTCGGGGGAACCGATAGCGGCGGTGGGTGGTGGTTCGGAGAACCAGTAGCGATGGCAGCGCGAGTCTCCCCTCCTGCCTAGATGTCATTACTTTCTGGTTTTAATCAAGAAGTAACCTGTTTTTTACCCTCTGTGAATGCACAGAAGGCTTTGCGCATGCACAAAGGGTCCAAAATCACATGTGACACACGCACTCTCGCACTCCTGAACTGCTAGGGAAGGTTAGTAGATTTCACCCCTGGGGTAATGATGTAATTAGGGCTTGTCAGAAGTCTCCTGTTGCAATTGCTCATGGGATCATGGGTAATTCCTGGAGAAAGAAAAGGAGGGATTTATACTTAAGGGCCTGGGTGAACAACCAGATCTTCAAGGTCTTCTGGAATATCATTAGAGTGGCAACCACATAGCTTTCAGGAGGCACCTTATTCCTGAGAGCAGGTGCTGCAAGAAAGAAGGCACGCAACTTATGGAACTCTCTGGGTTCCATAAGTTGGCATTCTTTAATTGAAGAGACCTGGAGTGCCCCAACATTGTCAGCCTATTCTGGCTGGGCAGAAACCTTTGGAACTAGGTGGCCCTTCAAATAACCTGACCATGTGACATCGAGTTCCACCTCCATTTCTCTACATGTATCAATGTGCATGACTTTTAATATTATGCAATTTTAATAGCTTTCTCATCTTTTCAAATGGTAATAATTGTAGGAGACATAATAAATAATGAAATCTCTGCCTCAACAGTACTTGTAATTGTAAAATTAATATTGGTGCAATTTGCAAGAAGGCTATAACGACTTCTAAATATTCATCGTTAATTCTTCCTTTGCTATGATGTATAAGATCCTAGCAGCTGCATTTGCAAATATTACTGTTAATGTTGTTAATTTCATCATGGCTTGTTGTATTTCTGTGAATGTATTTGGTTAAGCAATGGATCAGTATATTGTAGCCTGTGCAAAATTAGAAAATATATATTTAATTAACCCATTTTCTTGGCCTGCATAATACAACGAAGCCTAAACTGATGAAACTGCTAGGACCCTAAATCAGATTAAGCCATTAAATCCTAATGATGTTTAAGTAACTAGGTTTGCAGATTGGGCACATACAGCTATTAACTGCTGGCAAGGCTGCTGCTGTGGAGATGAAATGAAGCTGATGCAGGAAACACATTTAATAGATGCTAATGATGCACTGTTGATATCACCTGGTGTCAGATCTGTGTATCTGTCATTCTTTGGAGGAAGGGAGGGGGATTTGGTTCTTGATACATTTACTTTCTATTTTCCTTTCTATGTATCCTATACCCTGCCTGTTGCAATATTTTCAGGATCAGACTCAATAAGAATAGTAAGAGTTAAAGGTTTAAATATATTTCCTTTTATTTACAATAGGCATTCTATATTCACTGAATATTCACAGATAGAAGCAAGGAAAAGGGTGCATGTAGCTCCTTATATATACAATGGGTGGAGCTATATGTGGGAGTGGTGAATTATGAATACATTAAGAAGTGAAGAATAAGTTAACCCCTGATACCCCGTTCATATACTATTTACACATTAGAGAATAAGGCATTTACATCTGACACTGCCTTGCATTCTTGTGTAACCTTTCACCTGATTTATAACTGTTGTCTGGCGCCTTAGCTACCTGGCAGTTTCTTACCTCTTGGGGAATGTAAGGGGAGGGTGGGCCATGTGGACTGCAGTGCTGGAAGATGGCCCTGAGAAAGTTCTCTTATCTCTTTCTCAGAGTGGCCGGAACAATAACATCTTCACACCTGCAGATTGGCTGAATCCACATCGGACGGTTGGGAGGGGTTCCTAATTTCCTTTATCCTAGTTGTATGGCCTGAGGGACCTCAGAGCCTGCTTTGAATCTGCCTTGCTATCACCCCTTTTCAATAAAAGGTTTCTTTTGAAATTCCAAGTTTCAAGAGTCTTTACTTTCTTGAGTAAGGGGGAGAGGCCGGGCCTTACACCTAGTTTAAGTAATGACATTTATTTATTTTATTTATTTATTGGTTTGATTTATATGCCGCCCTTCTCTGGAGACTCAGGGCGGCTTACAATGCGTTAAGCAATAGCCTTCATACTTTTGTATATACCTGCTTAGTAGGGCTTTCGGGCCCCCCCCCATAAGCGGTGTTCTTTTTTATACAAAGTCAGCTTATTGCCCCCACAATCTGGGTCCTCATTTTACCTACCTCGAAAGGATGGAAGGCTGAGTCAACCTTGAGCCTGGTGAGATTCGAACTTGCAGTAATTGCAGGCAGCTGGTGTTACTTAACAGTGCTTTAGTCTGCTGCGCTACCAAGGCTCAATGTGTACAAGAAAACAACCAAGCTCTGAGGACAGCAACGACCCCCGATACATTTAACAAACACAAATGTCTTTAATCTCCTCATTTTGAGGCTGAAGCCTCCTTTCAGGCATTTTTCAGGGATCGTTCTCCTTGACAAAGGCTGACAGAGGGAAAAATGGGGCTCCTGTGTTTGAGGTATTTCATTTTCAACAGGAGATGTGAATATCACCTACTTTTTAAGGGTTCCTCTGTGAGGGGAATGTCAACTCAGTAGTAAAGGAAATTAATGTTGTAGCACCATGTTTGTGCCTCACTGAGAAATGCAACTGTCCTGATCCTGCTGTCAGTCTTGGAAGCCATCTTTTACATTTGGGCCTTCAGGCCTGCCACATTTTTTACTGTGGGAAAATGGGAGGGGGGATTGTATAAAGTGTGGGTGATATGTAGTCAAAATAACATTCTTTTCTCAGAGAGTCAAGGCCACCTTGCCCTGCAGCTGTGATGAGGTGACTGGGAGGCATCTCCAGTTTTGGATGGTGCCTGATTGGATCATGTGATGGACATGTGGATGCAGGGGAAGGAACGTGAAATTTCTTTTGGGTGGGGAAAACCTGGAAACTTTCAGATTCAGGTTTCCCCAAATGTGCCAATATGACATCTCTAATAAACTGTAACTTTGAGGAAATTCAAGCCTCAGAGTTTTCTTTCCTTAGGGGTGTTATTTGGAACCTTGACACCTGCATCTCTGGACAAAGACCACAATGCTAGAGCCATGAAATCTTATTGGATTTCTGGCAGAAGAAAGCAAGATGTCCCCTGGAACCAAGGGAAAATCAGAGTCCTCAATTTCTTTCCCCAGGAAAGGGGGCCGGACTGTATAATGGAGGTCTTCCCAGCCAGAGGGCATCTCTTCTCCCCCATCCTGCCTTTATTGCCTCCCAGGGGCAGAGGAAATGGAAACAGCTCCTCAGCCGACTGCAGGGAAAATGGTGGGAAAAAGAAAGGACTCTAAGCCCTCTGAGGAATGTCAGATGACATGCAGCATCCCTGATTTCTGTGATGGGCCATTTATTTATTTATTTATTATTCAAATTTCTATACCGCCCTTCTCCTTTCGGACTCAGGGCGGTGAACAGCCAAGATAAAAACATCTATACAAACATCATAGTTAAAAATAAAGTTAAAATAATTTATAAATTTGGCCCATAATTTAAAACTTGTCAATTAAAATCAATATTAAAATTTTAAAACTAACCCTAAAATCAAGACAGACCGGCTAACTGAAAAAAATAAGTTTTTAGGGCCCGACGAAAGATCCGAAGGTCGGAGATCACTCGTATCTCTGGGGGTAGATTGTTCCATAGGGTAGATGCCACCACAGAGAAGGCTCTCCTCCTGGGGGTCGCCAGCTGGCATTGTCTGGCCGACGGCACCCTGAGGAGGCCCTCTCTGTGGGAGCGAACTGTGGTTCGGAGAATCGGTAGCGGCAGCAGAACGAGACTCCACCCACTTGCCTGGATGTCATTACTTCCTGGTTTTAATCAAGAAGCAACCTGTTTTTTGCCCTCTGCGCATGCACAGAGGGTTCAAGTGTGCATGTGATGCGTATGGCACATGCACTTCCGAACCGGTTGGGAAGGTAAGTAGATTTCACCCCTGGAGGAGATGTGTATGTGCAAAGCCTACGTAACAAATATAAAAGAAGAAGGAGTTTGAACAGGTGGGGCCCCTTTCAATGCAGAAAACAGGAGCTGACTGGCATATCATAGAAGACATATTGCTAAAATAAGAAATAGGGCTAAGAGAGAGCCAATAGAAGACTTGCTAAATGCCTATTAGTTAACTTTTAGGAATAGGGCTGAAGTAGAGCCAATAGAATACCTGTTAGATAACTTTTGAAATGTTTATTAGTTAAGATTTAGAAATAGGGATGGTGTGGAGCCAATAGAGGTGTTTCTTATAGTCCGGAAAATATGGTAATTGTCTCTGACCTGAAAACATGTGAAGGAGAAGCGTTTATTCATGTTATGGGGGCGTTTTTCTATTTCAATGGCTCCCATAATTATTCCCTTGTTGTAAATCTTCCCCCTTTTTAAATATGGAAATTTTAAATTTTTAAATTTTAAATTCGTCTTATTTATAGGGGTATGGGTAAGGCGTTTTAAATTGGGGAGCCATTTTGGATTTAATTCTGTTTTAAACGCATTTTAATTGTTTATATTGTATGTTTTTTAATTTTGGCTGTTCACCGCCCCGAGTCCTTCGGGAGAGGGGGTGGTATAAAAATCTAATAATAATAATAATAAAAAAAAAAAGTGTTCAGTTTTGGAGATTGATTTGGTTCCTTCAAAATCATAGACCAAGGAGTCTATGAAATACCATGCAAAATCTGCCCAGCCACATACATTGGACAAACTAATAAGAGAATAAATGCACGCATTGCAGAACACAAGAATGCAGTCAGAAAAGAAGAAAA